ACATTGGACCAGGCTGCCCAGGGAAGCGGTTGAGTCACCATCCCTGGAGGTATTTAAAAGACGTGTAGATGCAGCGCTTAGGGACATGGTTTAGTGGGCATGGTGGTGTTGGGTTGACGGTTGGACTCAATGATCTTAGAGGTCTTTTCCAACCTTAATGATTCTATGATTCTATGATTTTATTAGAGCCTCCCGATAAGAATGTCTCTACTGGATTGAGTGGATCAATTTATGAAGGGGATTATAAGAAGCAGTTTCCTGTGTTGGAAATGGAGGAGAACCTGCTTGGGTGTGCATTCTACTTCCACTACACAGCAAACAAAGAACTGGCCAGTGCCAGTAACCAAAAATGGACTCTACCACTGTTACTCTAGTTCATCCCAATTGTAGACAAGGTAAATGGCTACATGCCTAAGACAGATAAGTCTCCCCACAAAATACTGCTTTCTGGCCAAGTTGTTAATGAGTTACCTTTGGCATTCCACGTGCCTCTTCAGCCAGTCCAGCAGCTCTCTTGGCAAGTGGTTTGAAAATGGATGTGCAGGTGAGTTCTGAAATCTTTCTACTAAAAAGGAGCCATCAGAGTGAACTTTGGTTAGAAGTAAGGAGCAATTCTGGCTGGTCACACCAAGGTGACTTTGCTAACCTATCAAGGAGCAGCAGTGTGGAAAACCATATCTGTATCATTTTAACACTGTGGAAATGTGTAGTCCGTAACTGACAATTGTTGCATATGGTTAATTGCTTTTGTCTCTGCAGTGTGCCAGCTGGAACCATGTAACAAAAAGCACAAGAAGCAAATAGAATGACAAACATCATAATGTTTGAAGAATAAGGACTATGGTGATGGTATCTTTACACAGAATGGAAATATTTGTAAAACATAATTTTATTTACTATAACCACAGGGTTCCTTAAAGGAGGTTCTTAAACAACTAGAAGAAGAGAGGAAAAGTCTCCAGAATCAGCTAAAAGACTATGAACTTAGACTGGAACAAGAAGCAAAGGTTTGTAATCACTGTATGCTTCTGATCTATAAAAGCCATTATGTTGTCTGACAAACAGACAATATGTGTGGAACATACAATAGAATAGTTCCACAAAATATGTCACTGGAAGAAAGCTCTGCTGTGTATTTGTTTCTTCCTGTATGATTCAGCTTTTAAAATATTTTGCTCAATGGTAGCTTATATCCCTTATTTTAAATGTAGGCTTACCACAAAGCTAATGATGAGCGGCGCATGTACCTCTCAGAGATCTTACAGGTAAGAAAAAAACTGAGCAACTCAATGACTTTCAAAAATCATTATGCTTTCTTAATATAGCAACAGCATCTGTTAATGACATTAGGTCAAAGCCTTTTATCACTTCATTCATCTACCAAATCTGTTACAAAAGCTGCTTTTTAAAAATTTTAAGAGCTAGAAATTGAGAGATTGCTACAGTTTATTTATTTTTAAATTTTTTTTTTGCTTTTTTATCAGTTGGAGTTTCATTGTTCCCAAGGATAGTCAAAGTGCCCTTAATTGAGAAAGCTGAAGCAATTTTCTGGTACTTGCTTGCCCATCCATTAGTCACAAGACTGCTATGCTAGTTTAATGTTTCAGTTGAAAAGAACAGAACCAAATCATTAGCAGTAGTGACACCCACCTTAAGTAGCAATTACTCTTTTTGGTATTTCCCCTTTTTTCTTTGAAAGATGAACTAGCCAGCCAGCTGAGAATGACAATACAGCACATATTTCAATTAAATTTATAAGGTAAGGGATAAGTTACGTTGTTTTTGTGAAATCAGAGCTTAAATTTTATTACTGCAAATTATGTAATGCATAAAAGTTGATACTATGAGCTGGAGGAACCTGTAAAGGAACCTGTAAAGATTTCTAGTACTTCTTATTCTGAAAAAGCTCTTAATTCCTGAATAATGTAAAAGTAATAGCTTAGTGTGATACTCGGGAATGACTGTCACTGTCATAGCTAACTGGGGTGAAAGGCTGTAATTAGCAGTGTTTCCATGTGTTTGCACAGTGGGCAATTGATTCTCTTACGTGGTTCATTGCTGCTTTGGGAAATCTGAAAGAATTGCTTAAACTAACTTTCCAGCATGAAACCAAGAGCGAGCCCAGGAAATGCCCATGATAACTGTTAATATCTTTGCATTAACAGTGAAACTGGGAACTGCTGGAGGAAGAAGGTAGGAAATAAAAGATAATTTTATTACTGAACATGCTAGCAAGAGGAGTGCCCGTGTTCAGCTGCCTAGAAAAGCACTTAAACATGCATAAGACAATATTTAAAGTGAGGCATATACACTGGCATGTTGCTTAAATGGGGCATTAGGGACTAGGATTTTGCCACTGACACTCAAGGTAGTTAGTGCATTATGTTTTCAGTAATCAATTATTTGCCCCCATGATTTCAGAATCATATGAGAGCATCTTCACATTAATCTCCCTATCTTTATTCTCTGAATGTTAAACAGCCAGTCTAAAGCAGTTGTAGAGGGATCCTCTGTAATCTGTGGAGAAAGGAGCCTGTTTAAGGTGCAAACCATCACACTTGTTTTAGATCAAGATGAAATGAATTTCCAGGGACTTACTTACCCATCTCTCTGTCTGAGCTATAAGCAGAGCCTAGGTTAGTAGTTTAGATTAGACATCTACTTTTTATGTTGCTAATCTGAACATGGCAGTCAGCCTAATCATGGTTGACTGTTGATTGCAAAAGAATCAGTGGCTCATCTGGTCCTTTCAGGTCCTGTTCTGCTATGACTTTGATTTGATTGTTGCTTTTATGTTCTTTTAAAATCTACATAGGTATGCCCTCCCTTTTAGCAGTTCATTTTAACAACAGAGGCAGAAGTAAACTTACATTCAGTCCAGATTCTTTCAGATGTATTGAAATTTCACTGTTCTGGAGTCTGCACAGTAATGTTTGCAGCAGTTGAGTAAGTAGGATTTACCCATAGACTAACATTTTCCATACATTCCAAAGTAAATATACTACAGGATATTGTTATCCTGTGACAACAATATGTTACAGTGACACTCTCTTAGTTACAGAGAATGGATATAATTTTTTTTAGGCCTTTTTTTTCCTCATTATGTTTGTGCTTTTCTGTAGCTCACAGTAAAAAAAAGAAATAATAGAATGGAAGTTTTACTGGTAGGTGTTAAAAAGTCCCAGATGTTTTGGGTTTTTTTCTACTTTGTTTTGGATCCCTCCTGAAGCCAGTGGCAGAACCAGAAGGGAGAGATGCTTCTGAACAGCCATTTCTTTTATTTACCTTTTTTATTATCGAGTGCTTTTCTGCTTTTTTATAAAATATACGTATCTTCTGAGTGCTTTTCTTGTTTGTCTTGTCTGGATCCATAAATATATAGTCAATTTTAAATGATAATTTTAAAATAAATTAAAGATTTTACAAACTTGAGAACTCATGCTAGAGGCACTGATGGTTTATGGTGTATTCTTGTTTGCTTTTTTTGTTTTGTTTTCAATCTGAAAAAATGTTGGTTTGGGATTTGGACTCCACAAATCTCAAAGCACTTTCCCGTGGTATTCAGAAATTGGTTTGAGAAGCAGGCAAAGAAGAACAATAACAGATCTTTGAAAACAGATCATATTCTTTCGGGCTAGATTTTTACCACAAACTTTTACTAGCATAGTAGAGTCTGACTCGTGATTGGGATTTCTTTGCAGAAAACGCCCACAGTTATAGATAGGTACAGCTAGAAAGCTGCTTGTGCAACAACGGCTCATTTCAGTTGGGATAGGCCTGGAGTAAACTGTACCAGCAAAACCAGTGCTATGGATAACAATCGTATATACCGAAACTCTATATTCATATAAATTAAAAAAATCAGCGAATGCAATCATAGCATAGGTCTTGCCTCATTTGTCACAGAATCACATCTGCTCAGAAAGATGATAAATTGTACTAGCCATCATCTTTAATACTAGAGTTCCTTAAGTGCAAAAACTTTCTTGCCTTCAAGGAGGTAAATCTATGCAGATCCTATTCCATTTTTATGCTTGCACTCTGAAAAGACTCTGCTTTAGTTATAGCTGACTTCGCTATGACTGGGTCAGGAATATGTGCCTGGTGCTTTGTATACACGGAAGCACAGTAAAAACCATTGTCTTATAAGCAGTGAGACATGCTTCTTTTCAGTGCCAGAATTTTTTCTCACAAGTGCAAGATGTTTTCACACATGCTATAAAAAGTAATGTTGTGATGTAATAGGTAGTGTAGTGTAATGTAATGTAATAATCCAAACCTTGAGCCTTGTTTAGGTAGCCCCAAAATCTAGCTCTAGGCTTTCAAAAAGTCTTCACTGGCCTGGTGTAGCCAATACGTCGTATATAATGATTATCATATATTTATTACATGTTCCTCATGGATCTGTTTAAAAGGGCTGAGAAAATTCCATTCACTTACAGTAGACACCCAAGCGTGCACAGCCACCAGACAAGCCCTAAACCTTCTGTGTTTTCTGGTTTTCTGTCCGTGGTATAGCTGTCCGTCTGAGAGGTAGTTTTAGTAAAGGCAGCTGGATGAGCCAGCAAGTGCTGGGTGAGGAGGGAACCCTGTGAGCTAAGGAACAGGAGAACCAACTGATTTAATCCTGCTCAGATTCGGTCAAATGCAATACCAAGGGTAACAACTGGGTTTTTTTCAGTATGTCCAGTAATGTAGACTTCCAGAGTATGCAAAGATTTCCATGCTGTGTTAATTTTTTTAAAGTAGTTCCTGTTCTTAATTAATGATTTAATCATTCAAAAGTACAACTAAGTCACTATAATTTGTTTTGTTTCCCATTCAGGGAAGTATGTTAGAAATATAATGCTTCTTCATTGAAAATGTGGAGTTACAGGCAGTATGACCAAAAATATGCTGATTGAAATTACATATTCTCTGATTGTTCAGCTTAACAAATAATGGTATTTTTGCACAGCAAGGGATTTTGGTATGTGTTCAATTCCCCAAATCAAAAAGGCATCAGTATAATATGTGCTTAAAATACGTTATGGCAGTAAGACCATATTGGGTCAAAATTGGTTTGGAAAAATTTTACTTCTTTAAGTGTGATTGTGGTTAGAATTGAACTTGTTTTGTAAAAATTTGGCTATTGCAGACCTCAGCTACACTTAAAATTATTGAAAGGCAAAAAACAGATGCTCTGACAGGCAAGGGAGAAAACCGGATACTGAGGTAAATTTCCTTTATATTCCCTCTGTTTTCTGGCTTATTATTTTTGGTAAGTACTATGTTTTGAATATTGCAACTCTTTGTTCATGGTAAATATCACTGAGCATAATCCTACTGAAAAAGTATTAATCTTAACATAATTTTTTTACTGGTTTTCAATCAGTTTTATTTAATACTAAGTATGTTGCAATATTGAAAATATATATATTTAAGTGGCCTTTTTGAAATCTTACAATACCTCTGATGTTCTTCCCTTTCAACCTGTGTTTAAAATGAATCATTTTTTTCTATGTTACTGCAGAGTTGGGAGCAACAAGTATACCCTTTAGTCCATTAAGAGTAATTCAATTAAATAATGCCTTGCTTGGTCCTTTTAGCCAACAGAGATTGTAAAGCTTTTTGTGGATGATAATGTGAGTGATTTTAGATGACCACTTATAAAGGTTTCATTGTTTAAAAGATTTCTGTTTAGTTATATGGTTGAAAAAAGCCCATCTGCTCTGAGCTATATAGAAATAAAATGAATTTCTGATTGTAGTGCTTGTGAGAAAGCTTGAAATTGGAGGAGATTTATTTAACTGAACTGAAAATGTTAAGAATACAAAGCACGAAGAATATAGGGAATCATATCAAGTGTGTCAGACCCAGTATCCTGCCTCTGGTGGCCATAAGTAGATGCCTACAAAAGTGTGTAAGCAGGCAGATATAATATTTGCTTTTGGAAGTCTCCCAAATACTTTATATTTGGAGACTTCCTGAGCTAGTATGGTTTCTGTGTATTTAGTATCTCACAGTAAATACTCTTCCATGAACCCATTTACCTATATTATTAACATGAGCATTTGGAACATGTGAAAATGTAATGAGTAAATTATAAGCATGAAATTGTGTAGACATATTTGCTTACCAGCTTTATCCTTTCATTCGGTGTAAGCACAAAATCACAGGATTTCATAAATTGGAACAGCGGATCTTCATGCTCCAGGAGAGGATATTAGTAGAATATGAATTAATGTAGTACAATATGAATTAAAGTCTGTAACTGAAGTTTCTCAATACAGAAAAAGCACTGTATGGGTCTGAGGTACCCCATATATAGCCTGTGTGTTGCTTCTGGCCCCAGTGATGTTTAACATCGCTCACGTGGAGAAGGTCAGGAAGCTAGAACTAGGAGAAATCACTGTCTCTGCTGAGAGACTAAATATCATCAGCGAGATACTGAGATTTGCTGAGGATTAGCACTGATCTGTGATTATGTTGGGGTTTTTTTATAATTTATATTAATAGACCATTACTTGCCCTGAAATTATATGACACTGTGTTTCTGTAATTTTCTTTGTATCAAACAAAAGAAAATTAAGTATAAAAGAAAATAAAGTTTCCTGTAATTGCTCAAATCAGAAGATGCATATTGTAACAAAATGTCCCCTTTCAACCCATTTTCCCTCAGATGATTTTTTTTTTTTTTAACTTTTCAAAGTACTTTACACACATGAAGGGAATTGTTCATCTTCTAAATTGTCCTTAGTAGCAAAGGACCCAGTTTGCAAAGCATTGGCTTTTATAACCAGTGACTTAGAACTTTCAGGTCAAGCTTTGGTCTTAGTTGGCAACATGGAGCTAAGAATGGGGATTTGGCATAGTTTGTATTTTAAGGAACTACTAGAATGTGAGTAAGCACCCCTTGATCATCACAAGGTTAACACAACCATTGTTATATTATTCCTTTTTAATTATGTTTTGATTTACAGCGTGAAGGTTGCTCATTCAAGCTGATATTAATGAGAAATAATTTCATTCAAATAAGAGAAGACCTGCATGATTGAAAATAAATGTGTTCTTGAGAACAGTTTGAAAATTTTCTGTCCAGAGTTCTTATCTCGCTTCTGTTGGCCCTTCAGAAAGCGCCCACCTTCACTGGATTTCAAACCATACTAGGAAACTATGTTTAATGTCTGTTTTAACTAATAGGTACAGGCATGGAAAACACAATTTATATATTAAAGCAACACTGAAAGATTTTTGAGGTAGTAATTGTGAACACTAATTGTTGATGCATTCAGTTTCCTGGCCATCCAAACACAGAAGCCAAGTTCAGCAGAGGCCCTTTTTATGGTATTTCACAGGACAAGAAGAAGATAGGCTAGCTGACAATTGGGAAAAAACACGGATGTCTTGATGACTCATGTCTCATACAGTCTGAGCAGCCAATTCAATGTCATTCTGAGCCCTTACTGTTATACTGAGGCATACAGCAGGGCTCATTAGCTCAGTCTCAACACTGCACTGGCTGCAACTACCTGGCTTCTAAGTCCCTAAGTCCAGCTGGTTTTGAGTGGAAAGAGGTTTTGCTGCCTGCAGAACTCCACACAGACATACGTTGTCTGCTTGGTCCCGCTCTACAGTGATCTACAGATTAACCAATTGATTCTGAGTAATCAATTGATTTGAATTTGAATAATCAATTGATTATTGAGCAAAGTGGGGCCCCGGGTTCTGATCTTCCAAGCTCTGAGTGGAAGCAGCTCCATATCTCTTATGGGAGCAGCTCCCCCTTCAAGACCTTGACTGCTTCTAAGAGCTGGAACAAAGGATGTGTCAATCTCAAGAAGACTAGCGAGCCCTAGGGACAACTTTGTTGGCTGTTTGCCCAGAAATTTGAAACTTGCACACATCATGTCATCACAGCTTCTACTGCATAACAAAATATTTCTCTGGCTACCATCATGAATATAATTATGTGATGTTGTGATATGTTTTCCTTCAGAATGCCTGTTACTTGAGAAAGACATTGTAACCCTGTATATTGTCGTTACAGTATGCAAAGTGCTGTCTGTCCACTGTAGTAATGAACAGGGAGAGAAACAAATGTACGTTGCATAAGAGTAGAGATGCATGCTTGATCATGAGAATGACCCTTCCAGTTTGTGGAATCACCATTTCCCCCCTCGGGATTTGTTTACATTCCCACCGATTTCTCTTAGAAGATCAAGATGAAAACAGCTCTGGTAGGGTTCATGTAGGTGGTGTATGTATCCATGATGAGTACCACTTCATGAGTCTGCTGGCAGCATTTCCTATGTAAGATCATGGGCTCAAGAGCATGGGTCTCCAGAGTGGAACACCTGCAGAGAACTGTAACTACATCTACATGAAGTGTTTTTCCATTTCCTAATGGGGATTATGTAACTGATGAAAATGTCTCCTTAGCCAGTTATCATTCTCTTTGTGCAAATGTTTAGTATTCTGTTCATGTTCTTCAAATGCCATCATTTAGGTAACAGGAAGTAGTCAGGAATCATGAGATGAGGATTGAGTTTGTATGCAGAATAATTAGATGCTCTGCTAGCCTGCGAACCCAGAAATATACTTGTTTTTTCCTCTCTCAGGTTTATTAATTGACAATAGTAATCAGTTATGCAAATACAAAAAGCATGCAAATTTCTAGCAGTTAAAGCTTACGGAGAATGTGACACTTGATGACTAACTTCACCCATTTTATTTCAGAGGGAGATACAGTGTTCCAGGAAACCCGAAGATGGTTGATCCCCAAAAAGGATCGATTAAAAAGACTGTAGGAGTGAAGCAGCTTCCAAAACTAAAGCACTGATTTAATATTAATGCCAAGAACTTCCAATCGCTTTTTAAAAAATTTAATTTAACTGAAAGTTTCTAAATTGAAAATGAATGTATTTGTGCCATATTATAATACCAAACCCAGACTGGCGTGTCTTCTTGGCAGCCTTAATGTAAGTGTTCCTCTGCCTAACGGAATTGTTCTTCTAGTTGCCATCTTTGTTCTGGTGATCTCTCACCCTTTCTATTCTGGTTCTCATCAGTGATTCTGGGTGTCGGAGTTGGAAGCCTTGGAAAACTTTTAATTTCTTTATATACTAGGTAGATCCTTGAATTCTTTGACTGCACAGCAACCACTGAAAACAAACAAGCCTCTAACATTTTTGACTTCTCAACCAAGAAGAAGAAAAAGGCGGACTGATGTAACCTGAAGTATTGTCTCACCACCCAAAACAGTGTATCTTGGATAAAATTCCATCCAAGGGCATCCCCATTCAGTATAGGCACCAAAGAGAGACTCTCAAGTAGTCTGATGTTGGTACAGCTGACCATGCCTTTCATTTGGCTTTTAAAAAGACCGACAGCATAGTTTACTAGACAGTCTGATTTCTTACATGATACCGTACCGTAGAGTCCCTTTACAGTATAAAGTTGTTTTATATTCCATGAGCTTTCTTCCTCTAGCAGAGAAGACAATACACCTCCAAATTTAACTTTTTTAAAAGCTGGCTTGCTACAGATCCCGTGTTGACCACCACTTTCTGTTTGCGTGGTTTAGAAGCACAGCACCATTTCCAGCTACTTCAGGCACTAGTAATGGGGAGAAATGGAAGAAAAATTTGAGCAATTTTTATTAAGGATTCTTCAGAGCCTATCCTGTGGAGGAGTTGTTTCTTTTAAACATTATATACGCATTATGTTTCCTGATATTGGTATGTTGCTATTTGAAATTTGAACTCTCAGATGAGCCTTTGTATCCACAGTCTGGGTTCCACAAAAATCTGTATGTATTCTTCAGTGGCACTGATCCATGTATTTTTAGGGTCCAAAACAGTGCCGGTCTTTAAAGTCATCTCTTCAATGAAAGTAGGACTACTGTGTGTTTTCACTCTTAAGCATGCAATTATTGTTGCAGTTCCGTTACCTACGTTTTAGTCATTAAACCCCAGCAGAATTTTTTTAAGTGGCAACAGGAAAAATGTTTTGGTAATGAAGCTTCAAGCCTCTGGGTTACATCTTAAAAGCTCTTCACAGAGCAAATGTGATTGATTGACTGCCCTTTATTATTTTTAAGAGCATCCCTAGCTCTTTGCAGTATCTAATAAAGCTTTTTGCCTCTTTAAGAGCAGTACTAATAGTTCCTTATTACTGGCAGCATTAAAGTGAGGCTGTAATTAAACTCATACAAAAAGATCAATGATGTCATTCTAAAATGCAGAGAAAGACGACTTGCAGTATTGTACAGCATATTCAGTATGGAAACCCCATTTTTTTCTCTTGCATAGTATGAGATTTATTACAGATACTTCTAATGTTACCATGATGCACCTGGTATCATTCTCTCATAAGCAGGGTGGTCTGCCTGGCCAGTTTTTTCCCCACAGTCACAGTTGAAAGCATAGCACAGCTGATTAGGTTAGCACTCTTCTGTTCCTGTTTTTCATATGGAAAGTTTCCAAATTTTGATTGTGCTGGCATTTGTCATTCTGGAGAAGGAGAGGGAAAAAAATCACCATAATGGTCCTATTGGCATAAAAGACAAGGGACATCTGCAGTAGTGAAGAATATCCAGTTCTTGGATTCATGCAGCAGACATTTACTACTGCTGTCTCTGAATCAAATGTTAGTCGGTGCACTCAGGTCCGGTCCATGTAGCACCTCAAAATAACTGGAAGCGTTGCACAAATGTGGCAGAACGGCATTTATTCACAGCAGGAGACTTGGACACTTCCCTGGTGGGTAGTCCTCACTGAGGATTTAAACGGAGCCTTTTTTTTTTTGAAGCCTAAGGAGATACATTTATTGGTACAGTTTGGTACCATAATGGCCTGAGGAGAGGAGCAGACTATGTACTTCTTAGTCCCTGTTTCAGCTTGCCAGGAACAAGCTCAGGATTTGAAACTCAGTAGTATGATAATTAAGCCCTAAAACATGCATTTGACCATTCTAATTGTGTGTCCAGCTATAATGTTTGCTGTGCAAAATAGTTATAGTTCTGTACTCTTTAAATTATTTGGCATTTCATTTTCCTCCCGCCTTTCTGAAATGAGGGCACCCTGATGATTAAATTTGATGACTCAAGTTTCTTTGCAACAGCAAAAAGATAGTTTTTGGTTTCAAAAATGTAGTGTTATTTCTTTGGACCTGAATAAAACTTTTACACTGCAAGCTTTCCCAAACCACGTTGGAATTTTTAGTTTGTTTTGGTTTGGTGGTTTTGGATGGATGAGTGTTTTGAAATTCCTGGATTTATCTTACGCGGACTTTTCTCACTGCTGTTATGCTGTGCTGTGAAAGGGGTTTTGTTTACATTTGCAGCAATAAACAGTTACATGTCTTCATACGATATCTTCTATATCAATATTTCAGCACATTTAGGAGTAATTAATTCTTCAAAGCACAGTATGTGCTGCCATTCTCATTTTAGGCATAGAAGACTGAATCACAGAGCTAGGTTTATTTAAAGTAGAGATGGGAGCGTAGTGATGTCTGGTTTTTCCCTGATTTCATGACAGGATGATCTTTTGTAATGTTGCTAACTGTTACAAGGTAAATTCTGTCTCCTCTAAGGTCTCTGTGCATCGTATTCTAAACAGTGGACAAATTTAAGACAAAAATGGGAAATTGAATTGCTGATAGTTGCGGTCAGTGAGTGAATGGAGCTCAACGTCAGAGGAAGACAGGATAAGAGCTGAAGGTTTGAATCTGGCCAAACTTCTTCCTGCAGCACAGAATGTAATTGGGATTCCAGCTGTACTGGTTGTAGTGTGTAAGTGCCTTTAATTGATGGACCGAGAAAGTTGATATCCTAACTCTTGGACTTGGGAGTATGCTTCCCTTGTGCAGTTACTCATGTAACTCCACTGATTTCAGATGAGTCATGATTCGGAAGTAACTATGGCATTTTAAGTATTTACTCATATTGTTGCTGGAAAAAATGAATTAAAAAACTCAAATGCTGGTAAGCAAACATTTCTCATTTCCCAAAATATCTTTTTTTTTTATATCTCATGATTTAAGAGGGTGTTGAGTCGTGATTTTTCTTTTTAATAAATCAGTATAGCACCACTGTATTCCTCTACGATAGAATAAAATTCAAATGTTTACTGGATAGGCATTGACTGTGTGGTTGATTATTATGTAATTATGCAGCATAACCACAGACTCCAGAGAACTTGGGTGATGAGCTTCCTCATATTCAGGATATTATTAACAATAAGCAAGATATTTCATCGCTTAAATACTTTGTTTAATGGGTTCTCCATATAAATAACTGACTAGGTGGTACAGTTCACGGCTTCCCTAATTCCTATGATATTCCATCTCCACTGGTAAAGATGAGATGCATAGTTTAGTCTTAATACATTTCCAGCAGTGGAAGATGCTGCGCAGGCATTTTTAGAAATGTGATTCAGACACAATAGCAAGCAAATAAATAAATAAATAAATAAATAAATAAACGAACCTTTATGTTATTAAGCTTCTGCTGTCGCTGCCAGACTGGTGTCAAACATAAACAGTAATTTGAACCAACTCTGGTTGGAAGCAGAAGTAAAGCGCGTAGATGAAAATCACAGCTAATTGCAATAGTTTTATCTCTTTCTGTACAAGTGTCACACTAACGGCAGACATTTCTAGACCAGATAATGAGGCTTTTCAAAGGTGGCAGTATGTCGTTTAACTTGGCAGATGAGTTTAACCCTCTTTTCCAAAGATACAAACATTGTATGTAGTTCCTTGTAGGTTACAGCTTGGAATCCAGTTCTCCTGAACTTCACTAATCTGTCCCATAAACTACTGACTAAGAACTGCGTCGAGCCCAAATGAGTGTCTCACGTCTCCAGGAGCAGCATGCAGGTGGGACCAGGCTTTCCCTATGATTCGGAAGTAACTATGGCATTTTAAGTATTTACTCATATTGTTGCTGGAAAAAATGAATTAAAAAACTCAAATGCTGGTAAGCAAACATTTCTCATTTCCCAAAATATCTTTTTTTTTTATATCTCATGATTTAAGAGGGTGTTGAGTCGTGATTTTTCTTTTTAATAAATCAGTATAGCACCACTGTATTCCTCTACGATAGAATAAAATTCAAATGTTTACTGGATAGGCGTTGACTGTGTGGTTGATTATTATGTAATTATGCAGCATAACCACAGACTCCAGAGAACTTGGGTGATGAGCTTCCTCATATTCAGGATATTATTAACAATAAGCAAGATATTTCATCGCTTAAATACTTTGTTTAATGGGTTCTCCATATAAATAACTGACTAGGTGGTACAGTTCACGGCTTCCCTAATTCCTATGATATTCCATCTCCACTGGTAAAGATGAGATGCATAGTTTAGTCTTAATACATTTCCAGCAGTGGAAGATGCTGCGCAGGCATTTTTAGAAATGTGATTCAGACACAATAGCAAGCAAATAAATAAATAAACAAATAAATAAACGAACCTTTATGTTATTAAGCTTCTGCTGTCGCTGCCAGACTGGTGTCAAACATAAACAGTAATTTGAACCAACTCTGGTTGGAAGCAGAAGTAAAGCGCGTAGATGAAAATCACAGCTAATTGCAATAGTTTTATCTCTTTCTGTACAAGTGTCACACTAACGGCAGACATTTCTAGACCAGATAATGAGGCTTTTCAAAGGTGGCAGTATGTCGTTTAACTTGGCAGATCAGTTTAACCCTCTTTTCCAAAGATACAAACATTGTATGTAGTTCCTTGTAGGTTACAGCTTGGAATCCAGTTCTCCTGAACTTCACTAATCTGTCCCATAAACTACTGACTAAGAACTGCGTCGAGCCCA